GATTGTTAGAGATATTTTCATTATATTGTGATCAATGTTTCTTAGCTATTTATATTTAGCATCTTAATTAAATAGACTAGCTAGAATAATGAATAGGCCTTTTAAGGCAATGTGTAATAAAAGGTTTTATACCTTTTTAGGTATGGGCCTCCTAGAAAAAGGAGCCCAAATGATTGTAAAACCTACCTTTCCCGTCAGGCTATATATATGCCTTAAGGGAAAGGCTAGGTTAAGCTTTTCAATACATTCCTGTGCCGCAGTGCCTATTCTTGTGTAAGGTTTTTACGCTAAAAACTCTCATATCATTCTGTAAAACCTTCACATCAATGGAAAGCTTCATACACAGATCTATCTTCCATACATACACATTCTAAACTAGAAAACAGGGACCTAACAAATACCCAACAATTAGTGAAGTGATTATCACCATTTAAGTCTTTGCAATATTATAAGAGTGAATATTGTCAGGAGTATAGCGGTAATAGAAAAAGTGTTGGCGTCTCTTGGTGCACACAATTATTGTACACCATGTATGTTATTCATTCTTAGTGTATGTGTGAGTGATTTCCTCTTTTGTTACTTCCCCTTTCAACTTCCTTAGAATTGAGTTATTCTTTAATATCCATTTCTTTTATTTCCTTCTCACCATTGCCCTTTCACATCACTTTCTTCCCCTTAGCACCTCTTTCGTTACCCTTTAGACGGCGTTTAGACCCTCAACGGCTGCAGACCTACCGATTATAACCAATTTGGCTGATTATGTTGATTTATGAAAAAATTATATTTACAATATAATTTATTAATTAAATAAAGAAAAAATTATACGAAAAATAGAAAAAATGATCCTCTACAATAACTTCAGCCAATACAGACATAAAAGCAACTCCAACCTTACTTTTTTTTATTATTACACAATTTAGCGCGTGAAATCAAAAGTCACGTGTTTAGTGAAAAAACTGTTTGATAAGCATGATAAACCGAAAAACAAGGCCACCATTCGAGCTCTTAGACTTTAATTTCAAACTATCTTTCTATGTTTTGTAATAAATTTTGAGAAAACATATTGATCTAAGAAATTTATCGGCTAGTTAGTGGTCCTAATTAAGAATATACTACGTATAAAGTATGTACAAACCTTACAGGTTAGTATTGTGATCATATGTGGCATATCTAGAAAGAAACACATGACATAACATTTCTTCCGTATATAAAAGTTCCCTACACTTTCCCTTTTGGGCTGTATTTAAAAATTCCATACACTTTCCCTTTTGGGTAAGTTTTTCCTTTAAAAATACTCAATTACCCTTGCTTTTTCTACTTTTTATCTCCTCTTTCCTACTTTTTCGCCATTTCTCCTACTTTTTTATACTATTCATTACTTTTACTATTTTATCCTAAAATTTGTACCCAAATTAAAGCTAGTGCAGAGATCATTCAAATATGGAGGGAGTAGTAACAATGAGATAAAAAATCAATTGAAAAATGAAAGGTTGAGATTTTGGGTTCACACTTAGTATGAAATAAAGTAACTAAATCAAGCAACTAAAAGTTACTAAATAAAGCATACATTATGAAATCATGGGTTTCATTAAATTTTTTGTGTTCATTTGGCTCAATCAAAATATGCTACTATGTGACCATTTGATTTAGTTCCTAAAGCATACGAAAAAATGGCACAACTAACATAATAGAAAATTGTTAATTAATACTCCGTATTTCTTCTATACAATAAAACCCCATCTTTTTTCTGTTCATGCAATCAATCCTATTCTACGTTTTTTGGTTCTTAAAGTGAAATACTCCGTATAAATTAATTTCCATGTATGGGTGGCAGCCTTTTAATAGCTTAGATATATACGTATGTAATATGTATTATTTCCCTAGCTTTTACTCCATAGTATTACTCGAATGTTGTACGTATGGTTGTGTGGTGGGATTGGGGGCAGATGAACACTACTCTCAAGTGTCGTAATTTTTTTTTTGTGTGGGGATATTTTACTATTTTGGTGTAGTAACCTTTTTACTTTTCATTCTTTTTATGAATTGTTCTTTGTTATGCTATTATCTACAAATGACGCATTAATACTCCGTATACAGGGGCTTAACGATTGGATTGTAACGGAAGTCAAGGAGGAAAAGAGAAAAACAATATGGTATAATAATGAGAGCATAATGTACAAGAGTGTTTATGGTATAATAATGAGAGCATAATGTACAAGAGTGTGTTGCTTTGTATTACACCAACACATTTAATATGACAAAAACACTCTAACCTTCATTGGTGTTTATAATATTTTAGATAAGTGATTTCGTTGATTTTAATCATCTCCTAAATTACATCATCTTTTCTTCTATGAATTGAATATTATCGCATCAAACTCAAAGAATTAGCAAGTTTTCGATGTTATTGAACACCAAGCTACAACTAGTGAAGCTACTACTAATCAAGTGTTCTTTTTTGAATATATAAATGCCCAAATGAAGTAACGTGCATCACAAATAGAGTGAGTTTTCAGATTCAATGGGATGCCAAATATGGTTAAAATAAACTTGGTCACTTTATTTGATAGGCGGAGGCGTGATCATCCTATAACATTCATCACCATATTAACTATTAGGGCATGTTAAACACAACAATTCTATCTTTGAAAAAAAACACTTGATTAGTTGATTCATATGCAACCATACACCCACTCGTGTCTAATGGGGTTCCCTCAACTTGGTCACTTTATTTGATTCTTCAATACTTTTTTTTTGAACGATTGATTCTTCAATACTTTAATTCAATTACAACATTACAAATAGAAATATTGAGAATAGTTTGACACCAAAACAAATAAATATCAATTCAGAACTCATTCAAATCCATGCATTAATGTGTGCATGGAATACAAATTAACAAAAGAGCACGTACATTGGTTTATACTCCGTATAGTTTATCAATTTAGAACCTATTTTTTAATTATTGAGTGAAAACAAATAATATCAGCTATATTTCATAAAGTTGATGTGTATCCATACAAAAAAAAACATGCTATCGCTCATTACATGTGCGAAACTAAACTGAATAAATCGTGATAAGGGACGCATAGGCTGCATAAGAGTAGAACGACTAAATTAAAGATCAATAGCAATTAGCAACATACACACGAGTGAGGTTCAATTAAGAACTTTTTGAAACGCAATGAATGCAGATGGTGCCCATTGTTATCAGATTACAATAATCCACTAAAAGTGATTTATTAATGACAAATAAGTATTAAAGAGTAGTACTCACTTACGAAGCATGTGTAGTAATGATCCGGTGTGTATCTTCAAGACAAATTTGTCCCACATAAGTGATTTGGTTTATTTCAATTGTCTCTTCAAATACATCATTTTTTCTTCTATGAATTGAATATTGCCACTTCAAACTCAAAGAATATTGAACACCAAACTACAACTAGTGAAGCTACTACACAATGAAATAGAGTGAGTTTTCAGACGCAATGGGATGCCAAATGTGATTAAAAAAAGGTGACAACTCCGGTACCCATTTAAAAAATTGGGTACCGTACCTACCATGCATTTGATTGGTCTAAATCATTATATGCTTTTTAATTTAGATTTAAATAATTCAACTGCATCATTCTTATTGGTCCATTTGGACAAAGGTACGGTACATTTGGGGTACCATAGAATCTACCTTAAAAAACGTTTATAAAAATGTGACATCTTAAAAGGGCCAACTACAATAGTACTTTAGTTATAGTTGACCATGACACTATACTATAGTCTATACTACTAACTTTTTAATCATATTTTTGTAAATAAATCTTATTTTAGAAATGGGGTAATTTGAGTTTGCACCCAACTCAAATCTTTGTTTTTTTCACTCCCAACTCCGTATAAAAAGACAAAAATTAATGTCTCTCGATCAAGAATATGTTGATAGCCAAAAAAATTGTTAATGGAGGGGCATTTTTGTCTTTTCATACGGGGATGGGTGCAAAAACAAAGATTTAAAAAAAAACAGAGTGGAAAGTCCAATTTGGACAATAAAATAAAGTACAAACTCAAATTACTCATTTAGAAATATTTTTGAAAAAACCCTTTATAATTTAGATTTTTCTATAAAATTTACAAAAACAACTTTTTATACACACGGGTACACATGTTTTTGAATATGATATTTTTTCCTGTGAATACGCTACTCACCAATAAAATATGTCAGATAAAAAAAATAGTTTATGTACCCACACGTCTATTGATGTATACAAAAGAAAACCGAGCATTCCAGCCTAGCTAGTTGTGAGGTTACACTTGCATAGGTAAGGTCTCATGTTCGAAGCCCACTATGCAGCAAGGGGAAATGAGGGAGGTATTGCTCCCAATGATTCTTCTTATCTTCACGGAGTTGCTCAGCGGCTAAGAAGGGCCCCCTGAATGCAGCCCGACTGGCAGATGATCGGATGTCCTGCTCGATTCATCCTATGGAATTAGTACCGACCAGTCTGATTGTGATCAAATCTGTATTTAACTGTTTAGGGGCTTTCGAAGAGCAATTCATAGACTCCACCATTATTAAAAAAATGTACCCGCAGTATACAAAAGAAACGAGTTTTTTTCCGTATTAATGCTAATTAATTAAGTATTTACGAAAATAGGGTTGAGTTAAAAGTATTTACGGATATACTGCTGGGCTTAACTCTGGTCGGGGTAAGTCGCCAAACCGTTTGGGCGACTTATAAGTCGCCAAATGGTTGGGCGACTTATAAGTCGCCAAACGGTTTGGCGACTTACCCCGACCAGAGTTAAGCCCAGTAGTATATCCATAAATACTTTTAACTCAACTCTATTTTCGTAAATACTTAATTAATTAGCATTAATACGGAAAAAAACTCAAAAGAAACGTGTAGAAATATTGGCTTCAGTCTTTCTCAACGAAGTATATCACCAAGGCATTTCCTTGATTAAATGATGTCGAGGTTGTGTCACCGCCTTTGCGGTATTTGGTCAAAATGGGAAGCCGCGTTCACACTGTTGACACGTTTTTCCCTTCACACAAAACCTCGAACCAGATTTCAACCGACGATTCTGACATTCATTCACCAATCATCTCTTTCTTCCATTCTATCTGTTAATTGCAGAAAAGTCAAAACCTTTTTCATTTTCTCGTTTCTTTTTGAATTGTTCAGGTCCCAATGCGTTCACACCTCCGTTCACACATTACACCGAACATCTTCGCCGCAATTCCTTCCTTTTCCTATATAGATAGTATGAAGCTTCCTTTCCTCCAAAGGAATTCCGGGTTGTCTGTTTCCACTTGATTATATATTCGTGGAACCCACAATTTCTATCAAATGAGTTGCAGCAGTAGCCTGCCGACTAACAGGGCCCGGCGGAAGAAGATCGATAGCGTCGCCGAACACGTTTCCGGCGACCGGGATTCGAGCAGCGTGGTCACAGAGGAAGATAAGCACTCGGCCTTGAAGACCCGTGACGTGAAAGAGATTCTGACGTCGCTGCTGTTGCTTGAGGATCAAGAAAAGGAAGAGCAGGAAGCTTTGAGCAGGGAAGACCTCGAAGACAGAGCGCTTCTGGAGGAGAACCGCCGGAAGACCAATAGCGCGATGTGGGAATATTTGTCCTACGTCCAACACCACGACGATGCCGTCGATCAGATCGACGGGACGAGGAAGAGAAAGGGAAGCTGCAACCTTTCTGCTGCCGCGGCGGCGATGGCGGCAACGGCAGCCGCCGACGACCAAGAATCGGACCCCACCACTAGGGGCGAGAAAAACCTGACCTCTCCGCCGCAGAGGCGGCTGTGGGTCAAGAACCGGTCCCAGGATTGGTGGGACCAATGCAGCAGTCCGGATTTCCCGGAGGAGGAATTCAAGAAAGCCTTCCGAATGGGGAAAGAGACATTCGAGATGATATGCAGTGAGCTAAGCTCTGTGGTGGCAAAGGAGAACACCACTCTGAGAGATGCTGTCCCTGTGAAGCAGAGAGTTGCAGTCTGCATATGGAGATTAGCCACAGGGGAACCACTTCGGCTAGTCTCGAAGAAGTTCGGATTAGGCATTTCCACTTGCCATAAACTCGTTCTCGAGGTCTGTAATGCAATCAAAAATGTTCTGATGCCTAAATACATCCAATGGCCAGACGAGGAGCGAATGAGAGGTATACAAGACGAATACGAGGGGATTTCCGGGATCCAAAACGTCATAGGATCGATGTATACCACTCATATACCCATCATCGCTCCTAAGATCAGCGTCGCGGCTTATTTCAACAAGAGACACACAGAGAGGAACCAGAAAACATCCTACTCTATCACGGTGCAAGGTGTGGTTGACCCGAAAGGCGTGTTCACTGAAGTGTGCATTGGATGGCCAGGATCAATGTCAGATGATCAGGTGTTGGAGAAATCTGCCATTTACCAAAGGGCTAAGGATGGATTGTTGAGCGGTGTTTGGATAGTCGGAAACTCGGGTTACCCCTTAATGGATTGGGTTCTTGTTCCCTACACACATCAGCATCTAACGTGGACACAGCACGCTTTCAATGAGAAGGTAGGGGAGATTCAGGGCGTTGCGAAGGCAGCGTTTGCTAGGCTGAAAGGGAGATGGGGTTGTCTGCAGAAGAGAACTGAGGTTAAGCTCCTGGATTTGCCTGTTGTGCTTGGGGCGTGTTGCGTGTTGCATAATATATGCGAAATGAGGAATGAAGTGATCGATCCAGAGATCGGGTTCGAGCTGGTTGATGATGAAATGGTTCCTGATATTCAGATCAGATCATCTAGTGCAAGGATGGCTAGGGATGCCATTGCTCATAACCTCCTCCACCATAACCATGCTGGCACTTCTTTCCTGTCATGATATGATCAAAAGGCACAACTTTGTTCTTGCTAATCCACAAAAAATCAGAACCCGAGTCAGTAGCATTTGACATTTCGATTTATCACACTTTTGCTATGAGAAAACTCGGGGAGATTGAACGCTTCCAGCCAAAACAAACCTCACCAAACGGGCTCTAAATTTAACATATACGGCGTATTAGATTTCATTATTTGTTCTTGATATGTTATTCTTTTATGCTGCTTACAATAATTTTAATCGTTTGAGGTGTAGATGAGGATGTTCACCAATCTGTCAAAGGGGGGTTTGCACTACTGTAAGTAGCATTTTTTCTTTCTTTCCTAAAGAAGATTGTTTCTTTTTATAGGATAGGATGATGATAAGATGTTGTGAATGCATCTGGCCGGTGATTGAGATTCTATAGTGTTGATTACTTGATATATAATACTACTTCCGTGACATATATATTATCCCATTTAAAAATAGGTGAGATTAAGAATAGTGAAAGAGAATATAAATTATTCAGAGTATAATGGGAAGATAATTAAAGTGTGCTGGAATGAAGGATAAATCTAAAAAAATATTTGTAATATCGCATTCTTTTCAAAATTATTGAGGGTGGGATGAAAAGATTTAGAAATGGGAAGTTATGAATGTTAAGTATGAAAAAAAGAAAGTGAGAAGATATAATGTTACCGAAAAAGCGTACAATTATTAGATGACTCGGCTATTAGTGCGCATATGATTCTTTGATTACTAGTGTGTTGTTTCTGCTGTGTCAATTATACCATACTGAAATGGAAAACTGGTAAGACATCAATTTCATTAACTTAAACCATAGGATATTTGTCTTTTTTTGTTGTTTTATTACAATTCTTCTTATGATATTTTGGACATTTATCACATTTGCACATCGCTTAATTTTAGATAAGGGAAAATTACTATTAACCCCCCTGAGATTATGTCATAATTATTAATACAACCTTGCATTTTCAAAAATCAATTACTTACCCTCTCACGTTTGATCATTCTCACTATTTGCCCCCTCATTTTAATATTTGTTCAATTAAATGTAATTTAACTCTTAAAATAAATGAAAATTGTCTATAAAATTAAATTTTAAAAGTAAAGTGAAATTTATTATTATTATTACAAATCATTTTTCTTGATCGTTGTTTTTGTACAAAGCTACTCGATCGTGGAATAAATATTAATGAAAGTAGCTAAGATAGATGACTCACGAACTGAGTAATATTCATGAGATATATCAAATAAGATTGTTTGAAATATTGTGATCAGAATTCTAGCTAGACACCTCTTCATCATGAATATAAAAGTCTTTTTTGTAATTCATCTGGTTACATTAATCACAATGACAATTCTTTCGTGTGTAGCAAAGATGAAGTACCAAGAAAAAACGGATTTTATCAATCAATGACCTAAAAGATTGGTTTAGTATCAATAACAAACCTAAAAAAAAGATGTTGGTGTGAATAATTGTAAGCTATCAATCTATCTAAGAACTAACACATGTATCATAGATTTTGGTTTTTTTTTAATTCTATTACTATTTTTCTATGATTTTCCCTTCGCAAAAAGTTTATTAGTTTAATAAGATTAAATGATATTTACTTTTTTAAATTAAGAAAGATTAAAATTCGTAATATTTTATATCTTACTCGTGAGTCTTCTCTCTTATTCCTTTTAACTACATTCATTAATATTTATTCTATGATCGGGTAGATAAGTAAAAAAATAACGATCAACAACATTGGCTTATAATTATGATATTTAATTGTATTTTAATATAAATTTAATTTTGTAGACAATTGTGCTTAAAGTTAAAAGTTATTAAATTTAATATAAAAAATAATAACGAGAGGGGGTAAACAGTGAGAATAATAAAAACACGGGGGTTAAATAATTGATTTTTGAAAATGCAATGTTGTATTAATAATTATGGTCTAACCTCAGGGGTCTAATAGTGATTTTTTCCTTTAGATAATTTCTTTCTGAGAGCCAAAATATGTTTGTTCAGTGGCATTTGAGTTTGTAGAATTCTCTAATCTTTCGTTTGACCTAAACACTGCAATGATATGGCTTTTCATTATACTGTTATGACGTTTGCGGATAAAAATTTCTCTTCTTTTTTGTAGAAGCGAGGACATAATTTTGTGAAATTTCTACTGAGAATGTGGAAACTTGTTAGATGCTGTATCATACAAGATGTATCATAAAAGACTGATAATTATTGCAACTCAATGAACATGTCTGATAAGAATTCTATTTGACCGAGTGATTCATGGAGTCATGGAGTAACTGGGTGTCTCACTGACTAAAATATTACTCCTGATTATATGGAGTCATATGACTTACTTAATTTCTGGTATCACAAATTTTTAATTCATTAAATAAATGGTTGATTATTATGAATGATTTTACTTTAGACTATATTCAGCCCCATACCAGATTAACTCAGACCAGACTAGATTAGATCAGAATTGAACAACTATAAAATATACAGAAATCGTACATTTAGTACATCAAACCAGATGAAACCAGACTAATTCGATCAGACTAGGTCAGGCAGACACAAAATTTTAGTTCAATTAAAAACATTTTATTATGTCACTTAAATTAAATTCACGTGACTCCACAGTGAAATCATATAGAATTGTACAAATTTTTTAAAATATTATACTCGATATGTACAATGACCTTAGTTTCATTGTTTCAATAGATTTTGTAAACTTCGAATTAGGTAAAAAAATAAGAAAAGTAAAAATTGTGTGATTCAGGTTTGTGCAAAGAAAATAGAAATGAACACAACCACATATTAGTTATTTGAGTGGGAAATTGATAAACTTTTTTAGACAAATAAAAAATGAAAGTTAGAGAACTCTAATATTTTAGAGGCAATAGTTAAATATTTCAAAATAGGAAAAACGGTCAAATAGGTTCTCGAACTTTCATAAAAAGGTCAAATAAGTGCTTATATAGGAGGCTCTATCGGCTGTCGCGATTTGGAGCGGTTTCTGGTGGAATTTTTTTATGAAAATTTTTGAGCATCTTGTTCATCAAGTCTAGTTTACTCATACCAAATTTCAGCTAAAACTTCAATCGGGAACGCATTCAAATTAATTCTTGAAGATAACTGCACAGTTATCTTCAAGAATTAATTTGAATGCGTTCACGCTTGAAGTTTTAGCTGAAATTTGGTATGAGTAAATTAGACTTGATGAATAAGATGCTCAATATTTTTCATCAAAAAATCCCACTGGGAACCGCCCCAAATCGCGACGGCCGGACAGAGCCTCCTATATAAGGACTTATTTAACCTTTTTATGAAAGTTTGAGGACCTATTTGACAGTTTTCCCTTCAAAATACAATATTAGAATTTAGAAGTAGTTTTAGTACCATTTGATAATCCTTAGAACATCCCTATTTATAAGATTATTAGGAGATTAAGTCGGTAATATAATAGATTTTTTAGAGGAGCATCATTAATATTCGGGAAAAAATATGAATTCATATTATTTGGAAATTATTCAAAAAAATATGATAAGTTAGTGCAAGAAAAAGAAAAAACAGATTATTTACTGATTGTAGCCATTTAATGATGGCAGTTGATGAATTATAAATGAATTTAGTGATTATTTAAAAAATTAATTATGGGAGTTTTCACAAAAATATTATTAAAGAAAAACTTATTTACACAAATATGATTAATAGTTACTATAATGTAGTGTCATGATAACTTATGTTTAAAAATAAGACATAAGTTACGATAATTTCAGTACTACTCTAGTCATTAGTCATACATTTGTAAACAATACTTAGTTGAATACACAGTAATAAATATGTAATTATTTCTTAAATTAATTGACATATATATCAATTCTCCATTATTGCCTCTCTCTACGGTAAGATTCGGGTCTTTATCTCTCGACGCCTTCTATTTGTCACAAATAAGACATGAACAGTCACAACTCCTTTGTGTTGGGTTGGGCTTTTGGTGCGCACGAGTATAAAATCTATCATCGTTATGAACTTATGATTGATTGAGTCGCAGTAATTTACAAACTCTCACATGCTCTGTCGGGTCGGAGGTGAGGGAGCTCTTAGGATTGAGGAGTCAATCTTTTGGGACAAACAAATAAGACATGAACCCGTTTATGAGACCTTCCGACCGAATCTAAACTAAGCTCAAGGGATACGACCTATGAAGCACAGATACTTCACTAGGGTGCCATATCAACGTATCGGCGTATCGGAAATGTTCCCGTATCCGACCGATACTCTAGGATACCCGTACCGTACGTTCTCGGGCCGTATCTGCAATTTTTAAAAGTTTCCATTTTTTAAGAATTATTTTAAAATTTCGGATACTAGTATCCTAACGGATACCCGTATCAACTTTTTTTTAAAAAGAAAAATCTTCCAAGAAAATTTAAAAACACTTAAAATCTATATAATAAAATTCTAAAAAAAATGAAAAACTAAATATAATTTTTACTTTGCTTTTATGTGGTACACAACTAATGGACCCATTCCTAATTCACTCATTCTCATATCCCTAATTCTAATCATCCCTGCAAATTAATAGATCCAATAGAAATATGTATTAGAACTTTCAAAATATTGTTTTCTATCTTCATCATTCTATAACTTTGAGTACTTTCACTTTTAATTTCAAAATTGTAGTTGTTTGACTTATTTCTCATTTTAAATTAATTACTTATTGACTATATTTATATTTTGAGGTGCACTAGTGTATATGAGATAAAATATGAACTTATTTCTAAGTATCTTGAAACTGTAAAATGCTTCAATGCCATGAATGAGTAGACGTTAGAGGATAATATGTCTATTTTTTTAAAAAAATAAATGTATTTTAAATATTTATAAATGCACCCCTGTAACTTTTAATATTTATAAATACACCCCCATAACTTTTAATATTTATAAATATGGCCTCGTATCTGTATCCTACTTTTTATATTTTTGTCGTATCCCCGTACATGTTTCCGCGTTTCCGTGTACTCGTATCAGTGCTACATAGGATACGACACATACGGAATCTAATATGCCAAAATGGGTACTGGACTAATTGGGGATGGGATTGACCTTAGCTTATACTCCCTCCGTCCCTAAATAAACTTCCAACTTTCCTTTTTCGTCCGTTCCAATTAAAACTTCCACTTTCCCTTTGTATGGATTGGAAAATTCTTCTATTCAATATCAAGAACAGAATTACAATAGGAGGAGCAAACTCTCACACTCGACTATTACAAAAAACCAATCCTCACCAATACACTTCTACTCTAAGTGTATTTACACTCTTCACACACTTTTCTCACTTTCTAAACTGATGATATGAACAACAATATAACACTCTATTTATAGGGCTATTTGGAGACAAGGGGAAGTTGCATCCAAGCTTCCATAGTTATCTCCATATC